GCCTTACTAATGTTGTGTAAAGCGTTAGTATAACTGCTGGACTTTTGTTGCTTGCACTTCTTGATATAAATCCCAATACATGTAATCTGTTTGCCTTATTATGCATGCTTAGACATTGCTGTCTTGGTTTAAGGTTGCTGCTTACCATAACACCCAAGTCCTTTTGCATTCTGTATTCTACACATACATTATGAAGATGAAAATTCCCAAGCTTTAGAACTCTGCACTTATCTACATTGAACTGCATCTGCCACCTTTCTGACCACTAATTGAGTTTGTCTAAATCCTCCTAAAGTTCTGTGACATCTATGTTTGAATCGATTATCCTACCTGTTGTTGAATTAGACGCATGAGCAACACTTGGGTATCTTTATTGAGGAAACCTTTCGCCACACAGTGGCTTCATCAGTCCATACAAAGGATAAACTTGAACAGGAGGAGAATGAAGTAATCAGTCCCTCAGCCTTGAGTTGATGTGGTCAGTTCATCAATCTTGTCTTCGTGTCATCAGCGAATTTGCTCATATCACTAGTAATTCCCTTGTCAAGGGCATTGATATATATTATAAACAACGGGCCTAAAACTAATCCGTGTGGAACACCACTTGTTACAGTTCCCCATTCAGACTTAACCCCATTTACGCACATTCTCTGCTTCCTGTTGGCGAGCCATGACTTGAGCCATGACAGCACTTTTCCCTCAGTGCCGTGAGCTGCCACTTTCTTTGAGTGTCTGACGTGGTACTCTATCAAAAACCCTTACTAAAATCCAAATGTACAATATCGAATTCTTTATCGTGATCAACGGCCTCAAAAGCTTTACTGAAGAAAGTTAGTAAGTTAGTTAGGCAGGAATGGCCCCTTGTGAATCCATGCTGAGTATCATTAATCAAATTATGCTTATCAAGATGATTTCTTATATTATCAGCTATAATTGACTAATAATTGACCTACAATTGAGGTTAGGCTTATTGGGCAGTAATTTGACAGTAATGACTTGTCCCATGCTTTAAAAATAGGAATTACATTGGCCATGAGTAGTAGTATGGGTAGTATATATAATTTTAATGTATTTTAATAATTTTGTCAAAGGCTGACTTACTTAAATACAGGCAGGCCCTGCTTATACAGCAGGTAAGATTCCAAGCTACTGCTGTAAAGTGTATTTCACTTTCAAAAACATAAAACAGCCTGAAAACATGTTTACACTATTATATATTAGGTGAGCACTAGAACTAGCCATAAAAAATGCACATACAGTACATACTTTACTTATCTTAAAATATTTTCATCGTTAGCTTAGTGAGATGTGGATATATTGTAGAAAGTTTTAAATAAATAAAGAATAGGTATAATTAACCCCTTCAGGGTCCAAGGCCAAAATCTGAAGTGGTGCTCCAGTGTCCAAGAAATTTTGAAAAAAAAAAAAAATGCTGTATAGCCCTTGGGGCTTAGCGCTTATTTTTGATTTTAATAATAATAATTTGAAAAAAAAAATTATTTTTTCTTACAGAATTAAAGAGCATATTTTTGTGAAGGTAATAAGACAAAAAAAAAAATTCTGATCAGTACTTACCGAGATACAGTGCCAAGAAGTTTGTCGAAAATGATGTGGTGGCGGCAACATCAACGAATTCCACATACGCGCATTACATTATTTTGCTGTTTTTGTTGTTTTTTCTTTTCTTTTCCAATTTTTTTCTATTCCTACTAACATTTGGGGCCTGAGAGACCAATACTGTATATAATGTATATATATAAACTCACTGTATTGAACACAATAACCGCACTAAAGTTATTATCATATTATTGTTTACCAATGTTTTTTATTACAATAAACATGCACAAATTTTGTATAATACTAATGTTCTATCATATATTTACATATTTACAATCACTGGACATGGTTTTAGAACTGCTGGAGCTTGTGGAACTCCTTGAAACAAGGCACCATGCACAGAGGCACCTTACATTCCTCACACATAAACCGAGTGTCTTTGCATCTTTGTTGCCATCTTTTTGTTTGTGCACAGACGATGCATCTCTTCTGAGCAAATTTCTTCTGAGTTGAAGGAAGTTGTATTATGAAATGATCACCTTCCCTCCTCAAACGCTTGGGTATATCCTGAGGAATTCGAGGACCGTGTTGTATAGCAGGTGTTGTCTGACAACAGACAAACAAAATTCACCATACGGTGGTCTGTTGCCAGTCTTTATTTGGTACATATTATATGCATTGAGCATTGAAATGTCCATGAGATGGAAGAAAAGTTTCATGTACCACTTGTAACTCTTACGAACACAGTCAACAAAACCAATCTGCATGTCACATTTGTCAACCAAGCGCATGTTTTGTGTATAATCAATCACTGTCACTGGTTTTCGAATACGTTCATTAGTCACTCAATCAACTTTGCCACTGTCTTGCATTTCATTACGGTGAATGGTTGTCAACAATGTGACATCTCGTTTGTCATGCCACCGTAATGCCATGATGTCATTGGCAGTAAACACCTGCACGTCATCACCACGAGCACCTGCGTTGAGCCTGGGCATGTGTTTACGATTAGAACGCACTGTGCCACACACATCTGTCTTGTTCACTCGCATGAAATCACTGAGTAATGGGCTTGTGTACCAGTTATCGGTATATAATGTATGCCCCTTACCAAGATAAGGTGCCATCATGTTTCTCACTACGTCACCTGAGATTCCCAATAATATCTTGGTATCTTTCAATGTTTTACTACCCGTGTATACAACAATATCCAACACCAGGCCACTGTCACAATCACAGAGTACAAACAGTTTTATACCAAAGCGTTTCCTCTTGCTCGGTATATACTGCTTGAATGACAGTCTACCTTTGAACAAAATCAAAGACTCATCAATTACAAGATTCTTGAATGGATAAAAGTATATGCTGAACTTTTGTTTGAGATACATGAAAACATTTCTAATCTTGTATAACCTGTCACTTCTGTCAGGCCTGGTTTTGTCAGAGAAGTGCAACATACGTAAGAGTAAGATAAACCTGTTCACTGGTATGATTTCACTGAAGACCGGGGTAGAAATTAGCAGATCTGTGGACCAGTATGCTTTTATATTATGCTTATAGACTTGAGGCATAAGCATTATTGTTGCAAAAAGCAAATACATTTCTGCAACAGTCTTCTTTTTCCACCTGTGTAGTCTTGACTGTGGTGCTATGACCGTATTTGCCATGGTGTACTCAAAATACTTATTACTTTCCCTGACAATAATTTCCATCACTGGCTGGTCAAAGAATAATTCAAAGAATTCCAGTTCATTGGCCGTGGTTCCAAGGGGACAAGTAGGTAGAATTCCACTTTGAGAGTCATCAAAGTGGTGAGGCTTGGGAACAAAATTGGGATTTTGCTGCCAATCCCACATACGGTTTGCTGGTGGATACTGGACATCATAGGCTGGTTGTGCGGGTGGTTGTGGTGGGCTGGTGGCTGGCGCTCCGCTTTGTCCTTGAACTGACGAGTCAGCAGCGTGGGTCCTAGCGTGGCCTGGTGAGTCACGCATGGCGGTGCCACTACCATCACCACTAACACCATCCACTGATGCCTGTGGTCTATCCATGCCAAATGTAGCCACATCATCCTCACTATCACTACCTAAAACTGGTGTTGGGCCACGGGATGTACTCCGGGATGTACTCCGTCCCCTGGGCACAGCATAGGGTACACTACTCGAGCGCATGCGGCGGCAAACATACCGACGCTTCACTGGTGAATATGATTCCTCACTATCGCTACTCGAATGATCGTCGAGTGCAATAAAATCACAGTCCACATCACTATCATCATCATTACTGAAGTCAGAGGCCTGGCCACGCGAAAATATTAGTTTTCTCTTGCGATGAGGAACAACCGACCGTGAGTCACGAGTGCCCACACCAGAGGTAGAAGGTTGAGGATCGTCAGGGTTTTCTGCACTATTATCGATATCCTGGTCATTCTTTTCGGTCACTAACTGATCAAAGCCGTAGAATTCGTCTTCATTTCCACTTCCGTCAGTGTCGGAACTATCAGATAGGAAGAGGAGAGTCCCAATTTTCCGGGGAGTGAGAGCTGACTTGCGACGAGGCATGGTGAACAAGGGTAACTGAGCCGACGTTCCCACAATGCTATGCGGGCGCCTAGATTTTTTGTTTATGGTGCACACCCACCACGCAGACCCGTTCTCTCACATGTAGGCCTATGAGCGTTTTTGCGCTAAATTTGACGGCGCTAGAATTTTGGCATAGATCTACAGTTTGGACACAACGTAAAGCCGTTGATCTACGGGACGGACCCTGAAAGGGTTAAAAACTGCTACATTGATGAAATGTTTTCAATCAGGGCCCTCCTGTATGTTGGTTATTTTTTTATGGAACTTTTGGTTTTAAATTTCAGAGGTATTGAATGACTATTGGGTTTCAGTGCTTCACAACTTTTATGAATCTTACATAAAATACATACTATACAAAATCAGCTGATTAGTGATATTTATGAAATTTAATTATTGTACAGTAGAACATTTTTTTTTTTTTCAACGAACTGGCCGTATCCGACTGAGGCAGGGCGACCTAAAGAGAATAAAGTTTTTCTTTTTAAATTTATTAATTCATACAGGAGGAAGGGTAGCTTTTTTTTTTTTTCTTTTTCTCAACAAGTCGGCCATCTCCCACAGAGGAAGGGTGACCCAAAAAAGGAAGAAAATCCCCAAAAAGAAAATGCTTTCATCATCATTCAACACTTTCACCACACTCACACATTATCACTGTTTTTGCAGAGATGCTCAGAATACAACAGTTTAGAAGCATATACGTATAAAGATACACAACATATCCCTCCAAACTGCCAATATCCCAAACCCCTCCTTTAAAGTGCAGGCATTGTACTTCCCATTTCCAGGACTCGAGTCCGACTATATGAAATTTATATATACAGTATTCTATATATTTTTCTACATTTGTTTAAAACATTTTAGATTGGACACCTGATTCAGCAAGCTGCAGGAGCTAGCAACTTAAAACGTGTTACATTGGAACTTGGAGGAAAGAGTCCAAATATTATTTTTAAAGATGCTGATTTGGAGTATGCTGTTGAACAGTCTCATTTTGGAGTATTTTTCAATCAGGTTCGTAAGCAGCATTCATTGTGATTACTATCTGTATCTGATTCCTTATTCCAATGAAAAGTGCCTTCACTTGTGACCTTGTAGAATCCTCTTGTGTAACAAATTCCAAATTTTAAATGTAATTTTTCTGCCTTTTTCCTTAATGTGTTTGGCACGTGCTAAATAATTTAAGCCAAGGTGATTTTTTTGGACTTATTTTTTATTTCGTCTTGTAACTGAATACGTTTTCTGAAAGCCATAGTGCTGAACAGTTAACTTGAAGTAATTCTCCAGTAGAGGTGAAAAACATTTCAAAACAGCATACTCATTGAAACGAGCAAGAACTGTTCCATTTTGAAATGCACACTATACCTGTGCTTGGCAAGGCTACTAGAAACTGGCCATCAGGTAAATTAAGACATTTAGATATTGAGGAAATATGTTGGAAATAATAAAAATGTTTTACAGGGTCAGTGTTGCTGTGCTGGAACAAGGATCTTTGTTGAAGATTCTGTGTATGATGAATTTGTTGAGCGTAGTGTTGAGCGTGCCAAGATTCGCAGTGTTGGTGATCCATTTGACTTCAAGACTGAACAAGGACCACAGGTAATTTTTCTTATTTTTTTTTTTACACTTGAGTATATAGAGTAAATGTATTTTTGGTTTTCCTCATTTTCTAAGAATTAAGATAGTCTTATGCTCTCATAGCATGTACAGTGTACATGTACAGACCTAGCTGACATCAATAACTACTATATAGATATAGGATCTTTCTTCTTTCAACAAGCTGGCCGTATCCCACCGAAGCAGGATGGCCCAAAAACAAATACAAAAGTCTCTCTCTTTAACTTCAGTAATGTATATAGGAGAAGGGGTTACTAGCCTCTTGCTTCTGGCAGTTTAGTCACCTCTTATGATACACGTGGCTTACAGAGGAAGAATTCTATTCCACTTCCCCATAGAGATAAGAGGAAATAAACAAGAACAAGAACAAGAACTAGTAAGAAAATAGAAGAAAACCAAGAGGGGTGTGTGTGTATTGGGTAGATGGTGGGAATATTTTGAGGAACTTTTAAATGTTGATGAAAAAAGGGAGGCAGTAATTTCATGTACTGGCCAGGGAGGTACAGCATCTTTTAGAAGTGAAGAAGAGCAGGATGTGAGTGTGGGGGGAGGTGCCCGAGGCATTATGTACAATGAAAGGGGGGGTAGAGCAGCTGGAACTGATGGGATTATGACAGAAATGTTAAAAGCTGGGGGGGATATAGAGTTGGAGGGGTTGATATTTTTGTTCAATAAATGTATGAAAGAGGGAAGGTACCTAGGGATTGGCAGAGAGTATGTATAGTTCTTTTATATAAATTGAAGGGGGACAAAAGAGATTGTAAAAATTATAGGGGAATAAGTTTACTGAGTATACCAGGGAAAGTGTACAGTAGGGTTATTATTGAAAGAATTAGAGGTTAGACAGAGAATAGGATTACAGATGAGCAAGGAGGCTTTAGAGTGGGTAGGGGATGTGTAGATAAAGTGTTTACATTGAAGCATTTATTTTTTTTCCAACAAACCGGCTGTATCCCACCAAGGCAGGGTGGCCCAAAAAGAAAAACAAAAGTTTCTTTAAATTTAGTAATTTATACAGGAGAAGGGGTTACTAGGCCCTTGCTCCCAGCATTTTAGTCTTCTCTTACAACACGCATGGCTTACGGAGGAAGAATTCTGTTCCACTTCCCCATGGAGATAAGAGGAAATAAACAAGAACAAGAACTAGAAAGAAAATAGAAGAGGGGTGTGTTTACATATGCTTGTACATGCATGTGTAGTGTGACCTAAGTGTAAGTAGAAGTAGCAAGATGTACCTGAGATCTTGCATGTTTAAGAGACAGAAAAAAGACACCAGCAATCCTACCATCATGTAAAACAATTACAGGCTTTCGTTTTACACTCACTTGGCAGGACAGTAGTACCTCCCTGGGCGGTTGATGTCTACCAACCTACTACCTACTGAAGCATATATGTGAACAGTATTTAGTTAAAGGTAGGGAAGTTTTCATTGCATTTATAGATTTAGAAAAGGCATATGATAGTGGATAGGGGAGCAATGTGGCAGATGTTGTAAGTATATGGAATAGTTAGTAAGTTACTAAATGCTGTAAAGAGTTTTGAGAGGTTAGTGAGGCTCAGGTTAGGGTGTGTAAAGTTTATTTCTTTGTAAAGGTTACAATGTGTAATTACAATTTTGATTTGCTAAGTACAAAGATAACCACTATCTTTGATGTGTAATGACTGGTCCATTGATAAGCTTAAGTTTTTCAAAACTGTCAGAGGTCTTAAGTTTGGATCTAAGGTCAAGGAGAAACTGATAAGAAGACTGAACCTCAGCATTTACCTTCTCATTAGTCCATAAGTCATGAAGGATGGACAATGGACCTCTGGCCTGTCTATCATTGAGAAGTTCAAAAGGTGAAAACCCCAAATTGTCACTGGGAACTTCCCTCATGGCAAACAAAGCACAGGGTAGGTAACGATGCCACTCCTTAGGTTTAAGGGAGCAAAGTTTCCTTAAAATGGATTTGAGAATTGAATGCTGGCGCTCAATCCTCCCATTAAAGCTGGGATGATATGGTGTTGTGAAGAGAGGTTTCACTCTCAGAGATTGGTAGAGATGTTGCATTAATTCAAATGTGAATTGTCCCACGGTCAGACAAAATTTCTCTAGGGATGCCAACTCTGGAGAAGATGGACAAAAGGGCTTCAGCCACCTCTGTAGTAGTTATGGACTTTAACCTGTAAACGGTCCAAGCAGATCTACGTTCACATGTGTAGTGCTCCAAAAGTAGATCTATGTTTTTTTACACATTTTCAAATGTAAAAAAAAAAAATTGCTTTTTTTACATGCTTTCAAATGTTGAAAAAGCGTATATATACGTTTGGACCATTTACGGGTTAAAGGTACAGCTTCAGGGAAACTCAAAGCATAATCAACTAATGTTAAAATATATCTGTTTCCCAGATGAAAGTGGTGATAAAGGACCAACACTGTCAATAGCTACTCTTTCAAACGGTACCGTAAAGATTGGCATTTTGACCATAGGTACTCGCCGGGTACCTCAGGAGGATGACAGTTGGCAAACTTTACACGATCTACAATATGTAGTGATATCTGAGGACATTTTGGGCCAAAAATAGGTTTCCCTAATTTTATTCAAGGTTTTACGATGTGAGAAATGTCTGGCCACTGGCAGGTCATGAGCCATTTTAAAAACAGTCTCCCTGCATTGACTTGGCACAAGTAAGATGGAATAGTCTATCTCGTCTGAATTTAATTTGAATACCGATTTATACAAGATACCTCTTGTATGTTCAAATTTATGTGAAAAGTTTTTCCTTTGGATAACTTGATTTTTGCTAGCTGCATTATGGCAGTTCTGAAGAGAAGGACAATTACGTTGTAAATTGACAAGGGAGTCCTTAGATATATCTAAAGGCTTAAAATTGGGGAAAATCAAAGGATGGACAGTAGGAGAAGCCTGGGCTTTGGTCTGAACCCTAGTCAAGACATTTATAGTATTGGAGGCGATATCCTCACTTTCATCTAACAAGTGAACCGGTGATCCTACTACCTCACTTTCAAGAGTAGTATCACTGGTATCTAACCCCACATGAATATCAAGAGACATTGCCTCATCTGAGCTGTCGAGGGGGTTTTATGACTTTACAGGAAGAGGAGCTGAAAAACTTATGTCCATCTTTGGTGATGAAAGGTCAACCTCAGAAGGAAGAATGGCACCTTTTACATTACCTATTAGTATGAAGCAAGAGGTGATGGGAGCTAGTATGGCTTTGGACCAACCTGTGAACCATTTAGACCTAATGTAACAATGGATGGTAGGAAAAGTCTGTATGGCCCAAGTAGTCTGAAAGGATAGCAGAGGTGCGAGTTTCTTTAAGGTTAGGGAACAGCTTGTCAGAAATGACTATACACGAAATTAAATCTTCATCAGAGTACAAAACAAATTCTGGCCACAAAATAGAGCGAAACACCAACGTCAAAGACCTGGGAGTGATCATGTCAGAGGATCTCACCTTCAAGGACCATAACATTGTATCAATCGCATCTGCTAGAAAAATGACAGGATGGATAATGAGAACCTTCAAAACTAGGAAGGCCAAGCCTATGATGACACTCTTCAGGTCACTTGTTCTATCTAGGCTGGAATATTGCTGCACACTAACAGCACCTTTCAAGGCAGGTGAAATTGCTGACCTAGAAAATGTACAGAGAACCTTCACGGCGCGCGTAACTGAGATAAAACATCTCACTTACTGGGAGCGCTTGAGGTTCCTGAACCTTTATTCCCTGGAATGCAGGCGGGAGAGATACATGATTATATACACCTGGAAAATCCTAGAGGGGCTAGTACCGAACTTGCACACGAAAATCACTCACTACGAAAGCAAAAGACTTGGCAGACGATGCAACATCCCCCAATGAAAAGCAGGGGTGTCACTAGCACGTTAAGAGACCATACAATAAGTGTCAGGGGCCCGAGACTGTTCAACTGCCTCCCAGCATACATAAGGGGGATTACCAACAGACCCCTGGCAGTCTTCAAGCTGGCACTGGACAAGCACCTAAAGTCGGTTCCTGACCAGCCGGGCTGTGGCTCGTACGTTGGTTTGCGTGCAGCCAGCAGCAACAGCCTGGTTGATCAGGCTCTGATCCACCAGGAGGCCTGGTCGCAGACCGGGCCGCGGGGGCGTTGACCCCCGGAGCTCTCTCCAGGTAAACTCCAGGTAAACACGTGCATCCAGTGTCTCGTAAAATGGTAGATACATTAAGTCCATTAACTGTTCTCGAACAGAAGGGTGCCTGGTCATTACAGTCTTTAAAACACCTACCAACTTTTTGCACCTTCTTAGAAGGACAATCGGGACGTTTGTCCCTTAACACCACATAAATGACAAACCGGAATAAAAGACTTCAGTTTACTTTCCACTAGAGGCTTTGATTTCTTAAGATCTGTTGAACCCTTGCCCTTAGGGTTCGATCCCTTTAGGTCTTTATAGGAATTGTGAGCCTCAGCATACAAGTCAGCGGCCTCAGCAACTTCCTCAGCTTTAATCAGGTTACGTTCTCTAATGAATGTTTGTATCTGGTGGGGAAGAGCTGTCAGGAACTGGTCAGCAACCATGAAGTCTAAGAGATTCATAACTGTGATCAATTCCTGAGCTCTCTATCTTTCTCTTTCTAACTGTCTCTTGATTTTCTCTTTCAATTTGATCTCTCTCCTTTTTCTCCTCTTTCTAATTCTTTCTTGGTTCTCTCTATTCTATCTCCTTTTTCTCTTTCTCTTTCCAACTGTCTTCTCTCTCAATTCTTTCTCTATCAATTCTTTCCTGGATCTTAGCGCTAATGAAAGCTTCTAAATTTTTCCCCGTTATTCCTAACTTACTCCCAGTGTTAATCCAAAACTGGTATTCCTCCATGCTTGCAAGAATAACTTAAACTACCAGGGGAAAATGAAACGGGTATCAAAGAAAACGGAGGGTTCAATGACTCACGAAATTGTAATGACACGATTGCAAACAAACCATACCACGGG